CAAACGCGGAAGTTTAATATTTCTGAGTGCAGCCTTTGATTTGGTATTTGAATGCGTATACATTATAGACATAATGAACACATATATATGTGTATTGTCATTATGAATACGCATATATTTTAGGCATCGTAAATCCGCGTGTATTTTCGGCATCATACATATACAGAGTTGATGTAATAAGGAAACGCTTCAGGCGAACTTTTCAAGAGTGATCCCTATCTAAAATTAACGTTTATTCAGCACAAATGCTCGTAGACTCAATTTAATTAAGCTTCCAGTGTGTATGTCGACGATACTGACGGACCCGTTGTTCCTCCCACGAGTTTGGGTAGCACTATATAAACTGCAGAAATTAAAGCCATTATGGATGTATATAAACACGTTATTTTAGTTTTGAATTTCATGAAGCTGGATGGTATTGTGTTAAAGCGTGTTAATGTTAAATGCCCATAAACACTCGATAATGTGGCGAAAACTAATTAACTGATATTTATCTTTACTTTTAAATAATTTATTAATTTTATTATATAAAATATTAATATTAATAATATGAGTCAAGTAGAGGTAAAGCTATCAGTAAGTTCTTGTGGAAGTACTGTAGTATTATCATTAACTGGATTATTAGCATTAGTAGTTCTTATAGCATTAATATTAGTACTAGTGTTGGAAACTACCTGTCACATTACCACGTGCTTGAGTTAGTAGCTATTATGAACAAATAAATTTACGCTACCTGTTTGGATTCATTATATTCCGCCTGAAACTGCAAAACAACTGGATCTATTTGGTAGAAAATTATGTCCATTAAAAGTGGGCTTTAGACACGGATGTGTGACGTCACTGTGGTTTAATTAAAGAAGGAGTTGAATAAAAATTAACGCGTTGGGAAGAGGTTTTTAAAAACGTATCTTATATACAATGGAAGTTATCACATTTACTGATTTCTGATCACACAGTGAGAGTCTGTGAAGTTGCTGGAGAGCACTTTAGAAAATAAAACAAATTGAAAGTGAATTCAGAGAACATAAAAGCAGTGGAAATGTGACTGTAAAAGACGAAATAAATATTATGATGGGAGAAAAAAGTTTGGGGTATTAAGGAATCTTGTGCAAAAGAGAGAAGAGTTTTATCAGAGAATAGTTGTATCGATACTTTTGTTTGAGAATGAAATATGGTCTTTAAATGTTGCAGCACAGAGACAGCAGGAAGTGAAAATGTAGCAAAGATTGTGTGAGTGTGAGTATTACGTAGAAAATAAAGAAATGAGAAACATTTTTGTGGTAGCATAAAAGGTGTAATTAAAAGAGGGTTAAAAAAGTGTTGGAGTGAGAATGTGAAGGCTTGTAGTGGTAGGAGCTTTCACCATCCAGTAGGTGTATTAGATTGCAGTGGAGGCGAGTGATCAATGTAGTTTGGCGGGCTGTCGGAATGTGCGCAAAATAATATGTGTGAAGAAATACAGTGAAAGCTGTTATCCAGACTCAAGTTTCAGCGCGAGACATTGTGACACTAATCCTTCCTGGTATGCTCAAATTATCAGCTGTACACACAGTATGTGTATACGCGAGGAGGCAGCAGGTGTCGGACCACACGATGAACACGGGCTGGGAACAAGAAAGCCGGCGGCGGCTCTTGGACCGATCTGTTACCACGGGAAAAGGAAGCAGCTCTCGGCCTTGCCAGGTACATGGCTTGTAAACACGAAGAGAATTGGCAGCTCCTGGGCCTCTCCAGGTACACGTTCTTTAAACATGGGAGGTGGCGGCATCTTCAGGGGTTTCGCCAGGTACACGAGAGGTCTATTAGCACAGAAAAAGGAGGTAGCTCCCGGGCCACGCCAGGTACACGGTCTCTGAACACAGGAGGCGGCGGCAGCTCGGCAGGGCGCTCGGTGCGTGAAATATGTTCCTCAGAAGCTTGTTAATGAAGCCGAGAAACAGAGCGCTAATACGAGGCGCTGTGAACGCGATTTACTGCCTGACCAATCACCGAGCCTGATAATGGGAAGGGAAGGGCGATGAGAGCAGGTTAGAGGTGAGGTAAAGAGGAATGGAAAGGGAGGGATAAATGAAGATGATGAAGGGGGATGTTAATGGATAACAAAACTGGGATAGGAGAGGGATGGAGGGTGAAGAGATAAGGAATAATGAGTATATCAAGGGTTAATAAGTATAACAAAGGTTAAAGAGTATATCAAGGGTTAAAGAGTAAGAGAGTATATCAAACATTAATGAGTGTATCAAGGGTTAAAGGGAAGGGAAATTGGAACATATTACGGTAAACACAAAAACAACATTAATTGATACAGAACGATCTATTGTATCTCATGAAGCCGTAAACCCTTTCAGGTTATTCAGAGCAATAAATGGTGGAGGCTCGATCCCGGTGTGGGTTCCATGCTGGTGCTTTATTCTCCTAGGTAGGTGGTGTGTGGGGGAGTTAGAAGGGAGGGCGAAGGGATATATATGCATTTACTGTTAGACTCGTAAATGATTCTAACCTATTCTTTTTCATTAGTCCAACCTGCTCTTCTAAAATGTATTAATAGTAAACAAATAACAGGTGTCCACCTTCATTCAGTATTAATATATCTGCATATGTCTACACCTTCTACGTTGTATGTCGTGGTCATGTCTCCTGCTTTACACTCCTCCACAAACATGAGAAAAACTTCATCCTACCTTCATAGCTTTGGTTTTTATTTTCTCTATACTTACCTAATTTTGTGTAAGTTTGGCTTGGTCTGGACTCCAGGCTGTAGCAGTGTTAAACTGTGTGTCTGTTTCTGTATGTATATGTGAGGGTGTGTGTTTAAGCACCTATGATAACGTCAGAGGCATAGCCACCACAATGCTCTGTTTCGGTAACATCTTGAGGCAAATAGCAATAGAGGTATGTGAAACAAAACGTCTCTCTCTCTCTCTCTCTCTCATTCTCTCTCTCTCTGTCTGTCTGTCTCTCTCTCTCTCCTCCTCTCTCTCTCTCTCTCTCTCTCTCTCTCTCTCTCACACACACACACATGATAATGATAGGCTCTATACAAAGGCTGTAACAAGAACAAGAAGGCGGTGTTGGAAGTTAAACGCCCAAATAAGCCACAGGAATATCAGAAAAAAAATCGATATGAAAGTAATAAATATTGTAATGAGCTGAGCGGAAGCGGACTCCATACAAGTGTTTATGTTACGTGTGATTATGGTATTTTTATGCAAAATTTAAATAGTTAATTGCCAATAGATAATTATGCATTCGAGAGAAGAAAAATGTGCAGCTCAGAGTACAAGAACAGTGGTACCTGCACTATTTTCGAACTTTACAATGGAATCGGAAAATACGTGACAACATCAGCGACAGGTGAACCACACTCAGCAGACGCAGCTGCTGCTACCATCTCAGCATTATCTGTTGAACTGCTGCTAGCATTATCCTCTGGATCACCATAAGTAGCAGAAGCAGCTGCATCACCAGCAGCAGCAGCTGCATCACCACCACCAACAGCTGTATCACCACCACCACCAGCAGCTGTATCACCACCACCAAAACCAGCAGCTGCATCACCACCACCAAAACCAGCAGCTGTATCACCGCCACCACCACCAACAGCTGTATCACCACCATCACCCCCAACAGCTGTATCACCACCACCAGCTGCTGTATCACCACTGCCATCAGCAGCAGCTTTATCACCACTACTACCACCACCAGCTATATCACCACTACCACCACCAGCAGCTGTATCACCACCACCACCACCAGCAGCAGCTGTATCACCACCACCACCAACGCCACCAGCAGCTGTGTCACCACTACCACCAGCAGCAGCTGTATCACCACCACCACCACCACCACCACCACCACCACCACCACCACCAGCTGTATCACCACCACCACCAGCAGCTGTATTACCATCACCATCACCAGTAGCTGTATCACCTCCACCACCACCAGTAGCTGGACCAGCACCACAATCAGCAGCTGGTCACCACAAGCAGCTGGGCCACCGCTACTACCAGCTGGACCACTATCACCAGCTGGACCACTACCACCATCACCAGCTGGACCACTATAACCACCACCATCAGCTGGACCACCACGACCAACCGTTGAATCCCCACCTCCCCCAGCTGGACCCACCAAGACCAGCTGGACCCACGAAGATCAGCTGGACCATTTCCACGGCAACTGAGGCACTAACAGCAGCTGGAACATCACCACCAGTAACTAACGCAATCAACGGTAGTACCAACCAACAGAAGCTACAACAACAGAGTAACTAAGGGAAATCTAGCACCAACAGCGTCAGCAAATATCCGAGAAAATACATCAGTCATTAAAATAATAGTAACATCAGCAAAGCCTCTGTCACAGCAGCAGCAGCAGCAACGACAACAGTCATCATCATTATCATCATCAATCATCATCATTATCATCACCATCAACATCATCATTATCATCATCATCAAAAATCACTGTGAGAGGCTACACAACCATCACTGCCACCTGAAACCATCACTGTCATGAAAAGCAATACTACCATCACCGCCAAGCCGCACACCAACAGTATCAACAGGATTGCATAAAATTTACAGCAAACACAACGTAAGTGCAAAAGTAGCTTAGTTCTGAATGACAACGAACAAAGCAGTCTCCACCAACCACCTCTTGCGCTGAAGGGCAAAGAAGGATTTTGCACTTCAATCTGACATAATAATAATAATAATAATAATAATAATAATAATAATAATAATAATAATAATAATAATAATAATAATAATAATAATAATACTGAGTGTCTTCTATGAGTGGCAGTGTCTTTTTGGGGTCCTTAAAAGCCGTATGGTCAGAAAGGCTGCCTCTTCTGAGAGTATTCAAGGTTAATGGTTAGAAGGGCAGTGCTAATTTTTTTACGAATGCTCACAATGAATGTACAGAAGGGCAGTGTCTTCTAGGGGTACTTAAAATGTGTAGTTAAAAGGGCAGTGTCCTCTACGGGTACTTACAACGTATGGTTAGTAGGGCAGTGTCTTCTAGCATGGAGTGAGGGATCTCCGGGTTGGAAGCACGGCAGGTGACCTGTTTACCATCGTCCTGTCTCGTAGGCATTAGGATGATCGATCCCGTTGTGACGTTCCCGCCGTTCATTACCTGCAGAAGGCGAGGACGAAGGGGTAGGTGTGTGTGTGTGTTGGGTTTGCTAATCTATGTGATTTGGGGAGGAAGAGTGAAGAGAGAGACACAGACATACATAGACATAATATAAACAAATGAATGAATATTAATGAACATGAAGAACTTAATGTATACGAAATTGTAAACTAAGAATAATTTACAAGATTTTATTGGTTTTAAATAGGAACTGAATGTGCCCGATAACAACTAAAGCATAGCACTCTCAACACTTCATAGTCAAGTACCAAATATCGGATAACTGTCTTGAAAAAATACGAAATAAAAGTGGAAGTTGGAAACATACCGTGTGTGTGACATCAGTGATCTGCTGAGATCCTCTCCACCAGGTGATGTGGGCGGGTGGGCGTGACCCCACCGCCCGACACACCAGCTCCACAGGACGCCCAGCTGAGAGAGAACCCACACCACCCACGATCTCCACAGACAATGGGCGTA